TGTTTTTATATGGAGGAAAGAAGACCTTTCTCTATGCGCACTGCCAAGTAATTAAAAGCGCTGAATACTGGTTATTCGATTTTGGGTTCGAACCCAGGCGAACAGGCTGGATGTATGGCTGTTTCTTTTTTGCCCCATGTGTAACGTGCATACGAGCCGGTTTTCCTCGGAAAGTCATCCGCGAAGTTATCCCTCCTCTACGCAGATAACGCTAGTTTCTTTGTCATATTCAAATAACAAAATCTAATTTAATTCTTCATCCATGGCTAGATTGGTGTGGACAGATAGAAGCACGAAAAATAGTCACGTAACGGCATCGTAACTTGGAAATTAAAGAAGCGGTTGGCTAATCTTTGAAATATGGTAACAGGTAGTTTGGCGACATTTAGGTAAGGCGATTTAAGGTTACTAGATAGGACTTTAGCAATAATCTGAGAAGTACACAGTTCGAATCACAGATTATTTTGTCTCAGAGAAATGGGAGATCATGAGACATGTCATGTGGCATTTTCCGGAAAATTCCGATCGTGATTTTAGCTAATAAGCACTTAGAAACAATTTCGCTGGTAAAGTTCAGAATCGCCCACTTATTTGTTTGGCGCTTTTTACAAGAGTAAGAAGAATTGGATTTTCGTCAATTTTCTTTGACTTTTTAAGTGAAAATAGGTCGATGTGTACATGGATAAAGCCAAGAGTGTGCGCAATGCCATTTTTGTGCAATTCTGGGATGTTCTTTCAAGTGAAAATAGGTCGACGTGTACATGGATACCGCGTATGTGCAATTCTTAAAAACGCGCGAAGCAGTGGGCGATTCTGCACTTTCTCCCAATTTCGCATCTAATCTTCGTCATGATTAAGCACTTTTGTTCTATAAAAGTTCTAGCATAAGCGTAATTCGGCTAGCAGATTGTTGGGAAAAAAAAGCCTTTATTTCGTGAAAACAAAATGGCGTCCAAAAAAAAAAAAAAAAACTAGCAGTTTGCTGTAGCAGGGTTGGTCGCCAAATTTTCGCGAAAAAGTCGCCAAGTTACCATAATCCGAAGATTCACCAAGCGGTTTTTCTTTACTTTCTGTTTAGTAATGCAGGATACTTAGTTTAAATGTAGAAAATGGCCCAATTGATATTTTTTTATTATTGTGAATTTAAAAGAGTGCGAAGTGTTTGTTTTATAGTCGGTAAATATTCTGCAATCGATACATTTTTAGATGTTGAAATTTTTAAAAAAATGTGCAATTTTTTAAAAATTCGTCAAAACATCAGATACTATGTTAAAAATGTGATGACAATTTTATTTAAATTGCATTTTACAGCTCTAACGGCATTAAATTGGCATTTTTTTATTATTTTATAGATTTTATGCAGTTATGCTGTGCTCAAGCTTACATGTTTCAGTCTGAAGGCATATTCAAATTATGGTTGGGTTTGACGCCCTACGTAGTCATTTTTAAAGCTGAACATATCAAGGTAAAAATAATAATCAAATTATTATGTATCTCCTCAATTTTTAGAAGAAAATTTTGTAAATAGTATTATTTCATAAAATTTTGGTCAGTTGAAATTGATTATTTATTTATTTTGTTTCACATTCTTTTATCTGCATGAAATTTGAAAGAAAGATAGTCTTTATTCTCTATACAAACGTGCTTCATAACAAAAAAATTAAAAATTTCTGAAAGCTTTCAGATTTTATATTATGCGCAAAGTGACATTTTTTTTCATTTACGTACACATACACGTTTTGAGAGTATCTGGGCTTATGTCCCTTTGGGATAAAATATTTAAATACAGCACATGTTTAGAATTTCCTATAGACGGTCTCGAGAGCTGGAGATATTTTTCCCCCGTACAGTGTTGTCATTAATCGCTTTAAAATCGTAAAGTTTTTTAATCAATAATTCGTCAAAGTTTTACAAAATATGAAATTAATTAATAAAACAAATTCCAAATTCGGGCCTCCAGGTGCCCGTATTAGGGTGGAGGACTACGTTATTCAAAAGTTGATGGTTCTATTTACCGCTGTTTTTCACAATGCGAGAAACATACCCACATTCATGCAAATTCTTCATTATTTCATTTCTTTAAAAATAATACAGAGCGACAACATTTGGTGCCAACAATTTGAAAAGTGATATAGCTCTTTTAGTGATTAGTTTCAAGAGCTTAATATTGTAGAGACATTAGCATTTTTTTGGAATCATACAAGATGAAAAATTAGCAACCGCCTTCGCCGGGAATTGAACCACGGACCTCTGGAATAGCGGCCCAGCGTGCAGAACCACTACACCACGAAGGACGCTAGGAAAGTGGCAGAAATACCTTATAATATTATGCACCCAGTAACTACCTTTTCAACAATACTTTTTTCTTGCGAAGTAAATGTAACCGAAATAGAGTAATGGGTTAGAAAATATAACTGAATGGTATTGTAGAGTTTATTCAATCAAGAACGGAAGAACTAAGGTAGAAATTTGGCATTTTAAAAATGGCATCTTCCGTTGACATTACATGTGGATGGACAATTGTAAACTTTATCATAAATATTTTAGGTAAAATGTGTAGTGCTGAAACATGGAAAATTAACAAATATTAAGGAGTTAGAAAGTATTCACTGCAACATTCTTAAATGTAAAAGTCATTTTTAATGAAATATGTCATATCTGTGCATTTCTTTCTCCAGCAACTAATTAAACCTATTAAAACTACAAATTTTAACATTACAATTTCAGAATACTTGCTAAAATTTTGAATTTTTTTTTTTTTTTTTAATCCTGTACAGACGATACTGAACAGTCGTCTAGCAGAAACGAAATCAGACGATTACCTTGCGTTGCACCCTCTTGTTCGAACCGGATTAGCTACGAGGTACACCGAATTTTAGTTATCTGTTTGGTATTTTGTATATGTTACGGTGAAACACCGAAATCTGGAGAATGTCGACTTTCACATAGTCTCTTGGTGTATGTCCGAAATATTTTCCAAATACTCTTATTTCTGACTTACACCGGTCAATGTCGACATTCACCATGTTCTAATGGTGAATGTTGAACATATAACATTATATTTTCTTCTCCGTAATTCAGTCGCGAATAAACGCACTTGAAACTTGAAATAAGAACTTAAGAACATGAGAACCTAAAACACACAATACATTCAAAATGAGAAAGTAAAGTAATAGAAGTTAAAAACTTAACTTACTTAATTATACAGTACGTTCTAAATGAGAAAATAAAATAACAGTAATAAAAAACTTACTAAATTATGTGATTCAAATCTTATTTATTGCAACAACTTAAACTAATATGGCACTTTGTGACCTCTCTTTTCGACTTACACCAGAGCATATCTGTGATTGTCGACATACACCGATGAGGGTCCGAATATACAAGAATGTAGTGCAATATTCGATCTTTCACCAACGTATTTGGTGAATGTTAATATTCTCCGGTGAAAGTCGACATTCTCCAATTTCGGTCTTTCACGATAACATATACTTTATAATATATGAATAAAGGCGTTAAGTAACATATATTCCAAATTATGTAAATTAGCTTTTACTGAGTACTGTATTTTTTACTAAATTTTTTGCAGAAATTCAGAAAAGTTAGTCATCAGTAACATTGAGGCTTTTCAGTTTAGAATTCGAACCGCAAAAAAGAGACACATTCTTAATATTCGTCTACTAAAATAGATTGAAAAAGCACTTTATTTAACTTTAAATTTTTGTTCAAAATTATATGGAAAAATGTTGCGTTTTAGTAAAAACACATTTTAGAAAAGTGAGTAAAAGTTTTACCAAATTAGATTGATTTTTTTTCTATCCAAATTTTTCTAACATTTTCATCATTACTTCTGTTATTTCAAATTTATTACTCTACGAACAGCTATGCAAATTATCAAACCTTTCAATTTTACAGTAGCTCTCTTTTCGTGTGATTTGGGGTTGATGTTTTATCTTTCAGATATTATTATCTATTTGCCGATGTCCTGTTAGACTATATGCGAAAACACGAAAAAAAATCGTGTATGCGAAAACACGAAGAATGCATCGCGTTATGGGATCGACTATTCGATTAATATGATCAGAAGGTTACAGAATAAAATTTTAAACTATTTTTGTTTAATTTTAAAATAAAATGCAGAAAAAGGAAAAAAAAATTGTATTAGACCCAAAAGGGTGTTTTTTTTTTCATTTCCTTACACATACACATTTCGAAAGCCGTTTCGAGAACATTTCGGCTAACGTTCCTTTGGGTTAAAAATATTCAAAAACAGTACATATTTAAAATTTCCGATAGACGGTCTCGTATGTTTTACATAAAGATGTTTTATTCCGTAAAATACTGTTCGTTTTTAAATCTTTGAGCTGTTTAATCAAAAATTCGTTAAAGTTTTACAAAATATGAAATAGATAATAAAACCAATTGGAAATCAAAATCCATTCAAAATCCGGGCTTCCATATGCCCATATTCGGGTGGAGGACTGCGATATTCAAAATTTGATGAATCTCGGCACTGCTGTTTCTTCACAATGCGAGAACTATATATACATTCGTACAGATTCTTCTTTATTTAATTTCTTTAAATATAATGTGGGACGATAATAGTTGGTAGCAGAAATTTGAAAAGTGATTCAGCGCAAAATGCCTTCTCAATACCAACAGCCCGTTTGAACAACCCTTTGAGATAATAAAAGATAATTTCACCAGATAAGGTCATAATAAATTATACCAATTGCACAGCAAAATGCTTGCTGCCGAGTGATGCCTGTGATTAAATTATTTAAATTTACTTAATAGCCAAAGGATGTTTGTGTATATAAATTACTGCATTCCTTTTTACTAAAGGATACGCAAAATGTAAATAAGTTTAACCATTCCGTTATCAATTTTATTTTACACAACTTTGCATGGAAAGATTTAAGAGCATTCATCAATAGAAAATGAACTTATTAAATATCTTACTTATATGTTATTCATTTCACTTTTGCTATTTTTTCTAGCAACGGCGAAAAGAATCGTAGTCGTCGAAGACTGCTGCAACCAACTTTTCACTCAAGAATTTTGGAAGATTATATTTCCATATTTAATGAGCATTCATTAATTCTTGTTAGCAAATTGAAAAAGATGGTTAATGAACCTTCAATTGATATTAGCGATTTAATAGTTACCTGGGCTTTGGACATTATATGTCGTGAGTAATTTACTGTTTTTATTTCAAGTTCACATTTTAAAAGTATAAACAGCATAATGAGTACAAGGGGTAAAATGTGCTAAGTTGTATAAAATTTAACACATTAACTTAGGCACGCGTTACAGGTATTATATAGTAAAATGCTGCTGAGACCCTTAAAGTATCTGAACACGGTGGTAAAAAATGGCAAATTTTCACACTTTCTCAAATGCAAAACTACCTATGCATGGTCCGTCCCCAGATGGACCAGACTTTTTTTTGTAAATATCAGTTGGAAGAATGTGTACAAACAAATCCAAAGGACTGCCAAAGTATTCTTAAGAGTATATATATAAAACTGTGTGAGTAGAAGCTCTTATAAAAGTGCTTATAAAGAAAGACACAAAATGAAAACAAAATTTTAATGATATTTTTTGAGATATTTTTAGATATATATCTACGAGATATTTTAAATTGTATAGTTATGTAATATGATGAATAGTCGAAAGATTTAGTAAACTCGACATGCGAAGCAAATAGGTGAATCAATATATCACTCACTATCCAGAGTAAAACTTGACACAAAAAACAAAAAGGCTGAATATGAACAGCAAAACAGATAAAAAAAGGAAGGTGTAACCTATAGATATGGGGCGTTGAAGTATCTGGGTAAAAGATTTAACAATAAAAATATAGCATTTTAAACTTTAAATGGATTTTTCTCAAAATTTATTTTTTCTAAAAACTTTCTACCTCGGTGTAAGATAAATCAAATTATTATTATTTTATTTTTGTAAAATGTGTATGCTTAATCTACATATATAGATATCTACGGAATGACACACCAGAATATTTATTATTTAATAGTTTTGAAATTATGGCTTGTTATTAAAATAGTAACGTCGTGAATTTATCGAAAATCTTATAAAAAATTTCGAATTTCTGACATTTTTTTTATTTTGTACGATATCTTTAAAATTCTATGTCATTCCCTAGATAAAAGCATGCAATTTATTATTGTATGAATCTTTTAATATTAATATGACTTTAACATTTTTCCATAAAGTACGTTTCAAGTTGTTTTAAAATTTGCTTAAGACTTTTTGATGTCATGTTGTACTAAATAAACACACTTATTCTTTTTTTTAATACTACTTTATGTGTTAAAAATATATTTACTGGAATATTTACACATTAACACAAACATTATTACTTAGTTTTACATTTTGAAACGAAGCCTCTCACAAACTATCTTTCGCCATTTTTCTCAGTAAAAAGGACATAATCACGAGAGCTAAAATAATTTTTGTCCTCGTGCGAAATCTCATAGGGCGACGCAGTGCCCTCTTAAAAAAAAAAAATAAATAAATAATTAAAATTCCACAGCTGCATTTACTATACAGTGAATTTTGTGCAAGCAAGCCTGCACTTTGTATTTACGTATCGTTTTTTTAATCTTCATCGAATGAAGACAACTGGCATATTATATATTGAATTGCAAAATAATTTCTACTTGCAAAAGTATGTTTAATATTACATAAATCAATTTAGAAGATGCAGTTAAAAATAGTTAATTTTCATCTTCAACTGTCAATAAATTATTTATATTAATCATTTCCTGGGGTTATTACATTAGGTTAAAATCCCATAATCGGGATGAGCGCCAAGCTTGGCGAGAGTTTTTTATTTGGCGCGATTTTAATTTGGCTGTGGTTTCTGGCTGTATGTTTTCTTGTGGCAAACCTAGAGCTTTATTTCGGTTAAGAGCGCGAATTTAGTGCAGCCAGATTTTTTTTTTAATTTAATTTTGAAATACTGTGTTTGTTTTTAAAAGTTTTACTGTTTGATATTATTGTTAAATATATATGTTTAATATTATATTTACATAAATATTTACAGAAGGTTAAGCTGTTGTTGGTGGGAGAATGTTGGATTTCATATGACATGAAATTTATAATTTATGAATGTTTTCATTTAATTTTATTTAATTATTTTTTTTTTTAGTTTTGTTTCTTGCATATGGCAATCGAAAGATGTGGAATATTTAAAGCTTTGAACGAAAGTTGTTTAGTGTGTTGAATTCCACGACGATAGTAACTTGAATATTTTAGTTAGTTTATGATGCTGAATACGCATAATTTGCTATTCTGTTTACGTTTAAAACTGACTTCGCAGTGCTCTGATCTGATAAGTGTATACATTTATTTACTCAATAATTATTTACAAGAATTGTTTATTCTACTATTTTATGATGAATTACATATACTATATAGGACTATGCTTTTACTTGCCAAGCTGTTGGACTTTGTTTTACTCATCTAGTATTTTATCATCTCATTTTACTATTCTTTTTACATAAAATAACGGCGTTTCAAAACTTAAAAGTTACTATTCTTTTTAAGTTTAAAAATCCCATTTTAGTGCTTTCATTTAATGCGCCTAAAAAATTCCCCAAATTTTGAAGGCCAAAATAGTTTGGCGCCTACTTACCCCGCTTATGGAATTTTAGCTTTAAAATACTATAGGTTGTAAGAAACAGCAATTTTGCAAGTTAATAAAGTATTTTGCTTCTTTCTAAAACAGAAATTATTTGTATTTATACATGAGATATTTTCAGGGTAGAATTTTGCTTCTGAATTACTGTAAGGAATAGCAATTTTCTTGGAAAAAGTTAAAATGTGGAAAAGAAGTATATCGGAATGTACAAAGTATACTTTATGAATTAGCGAACATTTTCGACATATATACTTCCTCTAAAATTTCAAAAGAATTATGAATTTTCCTTAGAGCAATTGAAACCAACACGTATTCCTGGCTTATATTAGAAGCATCATAGGCAAAGCCAGGAAAAACAGGTATTAGTACGCTTTACAAAGCTGTAATTTTAATTACTCTAAGAAAGTTTTGTAGTACCTAGTAATGAAGGAAAGCTATTACAGAGTTTTTCTTTACAAAATAATTTTAAGTTCCAAGATTTTGTGGCTGTTTGAAATGCTATTTCCAAACACTCTTGTAGGAAACATATTTCTTGCTATCTTGTCACTCACGTAATACTGTATCAAATGCAGTGTTGTTGTCATTTCGTAAAACTGAGGTAACATTACTTTTGACTACACGAATCTTGAATTTGTATTAAATCGAGACTACCAAATCGTCCAAATTTTGCAACTAAAAGTAACACAAATGCAATAACTTAAATTTTTTGGTACTTACTTATTAACGCATCCACCTTTGCGCAGTTTGTGATTCTATTTTTGCAGATGAAAGTGTAAAAGCTACTGACTGATATTTTACAGATATCGATATTTGTCGTAAGTTGGCAAAAGTTATCGGCATAAGAAAAGTCAACATGTTTTAGCAAATTAAAATACAAATTTGAATTGTTAAATAAAGTTTACGTGATACATTATAAAAATAAAACACTTGAATTAGTTTCCAAATCGTTTTGTATTTTTTTTTTTTTTTGGGGGGGGGGTTCTTCTCCTCAACGTCGACTTCTTTCGCTTAAAAAAGATCAGAGAGTTCCAGAGACTATCGGCATCTCTCTATCAAATGCATCTCCTCGTTGTTTCTCTTTGGAGAGTTTGCGGCAGAATTTCGTATTCCTGCAGAAATTTTACCGAAGTTTCTTCCATTGCTGGCAAATCCCATCAGACCATTATTAAAAAAAAAAGTTGAAAAATATCATCGTTTGTCTGCAAAAACCATTGGAACTTGAACAAAAAAAAAAAAATAATGCACACAAAATTAACAACATTCTTTGACAGAAGAATTGCCATGAGCGTGGTTGCCTGAAGAATGGTTATGCGCATGGTTGCCAGAATTTGGCACATTTTGAAAATACGGCGACTTCTACAAAGGTTGTTGCGAAAAGAGGAAAGTAAGAAATTTTTTATGTGTTTCAAGGCGCCGATACGTATATTAAATGTTTCGACATTGTAACACAAGAAACAAAACGCTTTGAAGTCCTTAAATAATGTATCCAAATGATTAATAATGCCCACTACAATAATCTCGATAAAAGTAAAAGAAACACTCCACCAGAAAAATTGCCAAAAGTTAAACGGTTTCTTCCTCATTCTAACTATCAGTTTATGTAACAAATAGTAATTATCTTATATAAATTATTTTATACAAAAAACCAAGCTTCTAATATTGCGTGAATATATCGTATTTAGTTATAAATAACAATTTAATTGGTACTGTAGCGTATTAAATGCGAAATTTTATTAAGAGCACTCGTAAAAATGTCGTATAGCTAGCAGAAAAACGTTTAAAAATATATTGACTTTTCATGTCATATTTTCTATGCTGATTCAAAATAAAAACAAGGTATGTAAGAATTGTAAAAGCAAGAAACTTAATGTATATAGACACTCATATTTCAAGATTATTGCAATAATTAGATACTTTTTTTTTTTTTTTCAAAACACATAAATAATTTGTAAATTATATAAAAATTAGAATTTGGAATATAGGTCAGAGGATACCGAACATTATTATGCCGCGGTAACCTTATCAGGGTCAATGTTCCTTCTAACCTTCTTCGGGAACATGCAAGGACCTGACTCGGAACAGAGAGCTTACTAAAGCTATGTTCACTAATTGTGGGAAGTAGACAGATACACAAGAAGGGTATACAAAACCCTTTATTTTTCTCTATTTACAATAACTTCCGTACTTCGGAATACACCGACCCGCTACTTGGGGTCTAACGTAAAAATATAAAACTAAACTCTAATTTAACTTTAGAATAATAAACGTGGAAGATTGGCCTTATAATAACAGGAAGCGTATGTAGTACAGAGAACTGTGAACACTACAATACGTTTAAATTTATCAAGAGGATTAAAACCTCTGGCCTGGAAGGCAACCAGCAACTGCGTAACTTCTAAGGTAAGCGGCCTGCTTCGACTCACTGCTTCCTCTCTCTCGCTTGGCAAAAAGCCACAACTTAAATACTTGGCGTTCGCCAGACAAACTTTGCATAAAAACCTTAACGCTTATAATTCTGGCCGGAAGTAGAAAATAAGAAGTGATAGTAAAGATTTAAAATAAAATAAACGTTAGTAAAACTTAAGATCCTTACAACCTGTATGTGAATATTATTGCTAAGGCACTCTACTTCACAAATAGATGAAATATTTTTGAAAACGTTTTATCAGCATGTGGAAATAATTGTACAACATCAAAATTGAATATATACATTTGTACAATGAATTTACGTGCTTAGACGTAATGATTTATACATACACAGTGTCGCTTTTTATATCGCCTGCATACATGCATTAAGATACTAAAACGTTTATAAACCATTCATAGGGACCAGTTCAGAATTCCTTGATTTTTTTCCCCTTTGAGAACATACAGACTCCACAACACGGAAGAACAACACGGGCTTACAGAAGTAAGTTAACTAAAACATTAAAGGTTACATGTATAAATAAACATTAAAAAATCATGCATAAATAAAGCGAACAAAAGCAGAGAACAGCAGTCTGGACTTCACGAAAACAGATAAGTTCACTGGCCAAGTCACTCCGAACATTTTCAAATCGTTCTGTAAGCATAATCTAGGGCCATCAAATGTAAGGCACGAGAAAATCAAATGTTCCATATCCTGAGGAACTCTTTTTGAACATTCACATAAATTGTTTGGTCGTAGATTAAAACGAAACAGATAACTTGCAAATTTACCATGACCAGATAAAAAATGAGACACTTTAAAATTTAACGAGAGGAAAAACTCGGAATTCAGTCAATGGTAAATAGAAGGAAGGAACTTTTTGGTGACTTCAGCATTACAAGATGAAATGCATTCCTCATTCCACATAGCTAAAAGCTTTTTATAATGAAAGGACTTCCAATAGCTCTTTGGAATGCTAATGTTGATATCAATGGGTAAATATTAAGGCATCTTTAGCTAAGAAATCAGCTCTTTCATTTCCATAGTAAAAACCATGAATAGCACGCACATAAACAAAGCAGATATCAATTCCTCTATTTTTAAGTGAACTAATAGTTACTAGGGTTTTGATAACTAATTTATGTTGCAGCTGGTAATACTGTTTTCAAAAGTTGAAGAGAATAAAGAGAATCAGAACAAATAAGGTACATTTGAGGATGTTGGCCCATTATCCTTAATCCATGTTTGACGGCAAGATAAATGCACAGAAGTTCTGCTTGAAAAACTGTGTATTCATTCCGTATACGGTGTCTAAGAAAACAAACCTCGGAATGGCCTTCAAAAAGAACAAATGCAAGGCCAACCTTGTTGTTCATCTTGCTGCTATCTGTAAAGAAAACCATATGAAAACTTATTTCAGCAGTCTCTTTGATTTGAGCTAATTTTGTCATAGCCTGTTTTGTCCTAGGCTAATTTTCTCTGGGCTATTTGTCGTGGCCTATTTCGTGCAGGTACCATTTTTCTTAAACAAACTGCAACGCAAATGCGTCTTTGAACTGCAGAACACACATGTAACAAAATTTTGTTAAAAATTAACCTCAGTGATTTTTCGACAGAATTCTTAATCTTCGTCCTCAATTGTGCACTGCAAATCCTTGCTTAGTTTCATATAAAATTAATGCCGCCAAGATTGCAAATTATTAAAAATAGGTATATGGAGTTTCAGCTGGCCTCTGGAGTTTTATGTCTCTTTTTTAAGCATACCAACTGAGATTAAGATACTTATGCTAAAAAATGTGCTAAACGATTTAGCAGATTGGAAGGTTTGCGAACATTGTAAATAACTTCTAGACCACAATACACTCTTTATTGTATACCCTCGTTCTATGTGGGATAAGCTTTCATAAGTACATGTCATATTACTCAATTCATCATCCTACAGGACACAAATATTTGCTACCTTTTTTTCCTCCTAAGATTAATTTTATACTTCCGAAACTGAACGACAGAAATGCTTCTTTCTCCGTTTCACTAGCTGTCAAGACCTATTCAGAAGATAGCACCTAATCAATTTGAACCGTGTACTTGTCACACTCAAGGATGTTAAATAGAATCACCCTGCCCAGGAGGAAAATATTCTGTACTCCCTAGTCTCTGATTTGAAGATTAATAAGCACGAATCGTAAAGGCACGCTCGATTTCAAACGAGCACTAACTCCCGTTGCAGTCTCTTTAATTGAACTTAGCTTTGCATGATCCTTATACAATTCCGCTCTGGAGAGACCGTGAACCAATTATCTCTTCCTTTTCGCTGACATCTGGGAGTGGAGGTGGAAAACATGAAAGGGCGAGTCTCCCAGAAGGTAACGATCCAGGCGACATTTAACCCCAGCGAGTGTGTCTTGTTGGGCGCCTGATGACATTTTTCAAATCGATGATTATGTTTTGGAGGCAATGCTGAAGTGACTAACAGAGTATAATGTAAGAAAAATAGCAGTAATTACTTTTAGGTTTTTTGAAAATAAGAACCTTTAAAAATATGCTTTATTCTCGCTGGGATTCGATCCACAGAATTACTACTTGCTAGAGTGCTGCTGACCATTTACATCGCAAGTGATGTCAGAATACGATAATTATTTACGTCCTCCTCCACATAAACCGCAAATGCGAAGAGACAAGAAACCAGTCAACAACTACAAGTGATGAGCCTTATCACCCACCAGATTTAACTTTACTTAGAAATTCGACGACCTTTATATTATTAAACCGCTATAAATATTTCCGATATATAGTTAATTAATATTCATTGATAGATTAGATTGATTTTTTTTATAATTTGCAGAAGATAAACAAACTTTAATATCTTCCAAAATAAAAGACAGAACTTCGGTTATATTTTTATTTTATAAATTTTGCTACATTTTTTAATAAGTGTATTCGAATATATTAAATTCAGATTTTATTCGAAAAAGTGCAAGAGTTTGATATTTTCATTTTTAATTATGCATTATTCATTACAGATACTGCTATGGGTATTCGAATAAACGCTCAAGAAGGATCTCAAGAAACTATGGAATACGTGAAAGCTGTGGAAGAGTATAAAAATTTATTTTTTCAATTACCTAAATATCAATCTGAAAGTTCCAATTTTTTATAAAATTTGGAAAACGATACTGCAATGCCTGTCGCTTCAGTTTTAAATAATAGATGAGGACCCTACAGCCCTTATCCCATGTTGATTGGCAAACTGTCATAAAATTATTCCATTATAGTGAGTATTTTTTGAGTTTGAGTACCAGGTGGGACTTTTTGAATTTAAGTCTCCTATTAAAGTTGGATATTCAGGTCTTGTGATTCAGGTTGGATATTCAGTTGGATATAGAAGTCTTCATTCGTAAATACTTGGTTTGGGGGATTATAAACTGAAATAAAAAGGAAATCCTCTTTTGTGCTAGAACGAAGTACGTATTTGGAGAATTTGAGATCTTCTTTTATTAAATTCGCTTTACCTCCTCCTCTATTATGTACCAAATCTGTCCAAATAATTTTATTTCCATGAACTTTTATATGCTCTTAGGTGGTTTTGGTCTTAGATGAGTTTCCTTTAGTAAAAAGACATCGATTTTGTGTCTTTGAACGAAGTTTCTTAGTTCCGTTTTCTGCTTCCTAACACCATTGGCATTAAAGAAGAAAACTTTAATGTAACACATTTGACTGCGCCAATGCAGCATACCCATGCTTGATTAGAGTATAAATTCATGTTCAAAGGTTCTTATGATTTCAGACTTCAATGCCTAGTTGAACGTTTTCAATGTAATTTTGAGTGTGCTTGTATTTGTTTAAAATTTTTTTTCGCATTTTTGAGCCAATAAAAGAATGTTGAATCAATTTTTGAGTCTTGTTTATCTTGCATTTTGCTGTTTTGCTTGTTTTAAAGTTCTTGACATCCTGGGTCTAACGTAGTGGTATTGGTTTATTTTAACTTGAGGAATTATTTCTCAGATGTTTGAAAGTTAGTAGATTTCTTTATTTTGGCTGTGCGTTTACTTTGTGGCTTAGGACGGGCCGGATAACCCCTATATGAGGAAATATGATCGGATCCTCACAAAGAGCATTTCCCTGGACTATCTTCGTCCGTGTATGATCCCTTCCATGGTTCATGAAATTCAGCACATTCCATACATCTTGGCATATGCTTTTGCTGTGGCCGTAGCGCGCTGGTGGTTTTGGCATTGCAGACTTCGACAATGTGTACTAACTTTGATCACATTTATAGCCCGAAAGTCTTTATTTTACTCCTGAGCAGCGATGGGCAAAAGTTAACAGCAATGTAGATACTGCAGGGAAACAGTGACGTAACATGCTACGGTGACAAAAATGGTGAAAATCTTATCTTTAAAGCGGGGATGTGTTTAATAAAAATTTCCGAATCCGAAGGTCTATTGCCAAAGGATTCCAATTAAGCTTAAATAGTTTCGTTTCATATTTTATATTTTAGGTATATATATACCCACTCTTTTTACCCAGCTTAAAATTCCTTTTACTTAGACTTTATTTTCACCAAACTTAATCGCAGTAATATACTTACAATTACATAACTGTTTCAAATGACAAACATATTCATGTTTTGGTAATGTCAAGTTTTTTATAAAAAATTAAATTTCGTCAAATAAGGAAATTTAACTTTTAGTGCGATCTTCCGGTTCCTGTACTTATATTTCGGGAAAATTTTATACTCGTTATGGAAAACTAAAAACATAAAAAGTTTGTCTCTCATACGACAAAAATTGAACAAGATATAAGTTTAAGTGAAATAAACTAAGTTTTAAATGAAACAAGAAATGAGTTCAAATGAAGTGCCGCAAAAAAACTGTATGATTTAATAGTTGGTACAAAGAAGTGACAAAGAAGTTTCTATGTCATAACTGTACAAAGATGTTTCTTTGTTATAACTCGTACAAAGAAGCTTCTTCTTTGTTTTTTCTTCTTCTTTGTATAAGTTTCTTCTTTGTACAAAGAAGTTCTTCTTCTTCTTCGGTTTCTTCTTTGAGTTTTTCTTCTTCTTCTGAGTCTTCTTCTTGTACAAAGAAGTTTTCTTTGTTTCTTCTTCTTGGATGAGTTTTCAAGAAAGTTTCTTCTTTGGGGAACTTACAAAGAAGTTTTCTTTTTTTTCTTCTTTGTATGAGTTTCTTCTTTGTACAAAGAAGTTTCCTCTTTGTTTTTCTTCTTCTTTGTATGAATTTTTTCTTTGTTTCCTTCTTCTTTGTATGAATTTCTTCTTTGTTTTCTTTTTCTTTGTATGAGTTTCTTCTTTGTACAAAGAAGTTTCTTCTTTGTTATAACTCATACAAAGAAGTTTCTTCTTTGTTTTTTCTTCTTCTTTGTACAAAGAAGTCTCTTCTTTATTATAAGTCGTACAAAGACGTTTCTTCGTTATAAGTGTGGTGTCCACATCATATTTTTTGTAAGTTTTGAAAAATAAAAGTTCGATGTTCGATCAAAATAGTGACATTTCTTTAAACACTTCACTACAATATGCTCATAGTACATGGAACTCTAAGCAATTAAAGAGTTACACGATAGATGTCTTTATTTTCGATCAAATTTTAGTGCTCAAGCACTAACGGCATGTTTTCTCGGAACTTAACCATAAAAATACTTCTCTTAGAAAATTAACATTTTCTGTAATAGAAAGTATCCTTTACTTAATTTAGCTTAATTTGCAATACAAAATCGTCGGAACATCGGAACATTAGCCAGGTACGATGAATCGAGTTATCTGAAGTTAACTAACTACTTATATTGATTTTTATTTTCAGGTTCTTAGATCTAGTTATGTACCGACTGCTGAGGCCATGGCTTAAATCTGATTTCATATTTTACCGGACTTCTGCAGGCCAAAGATACCTAAAAGTTATAAATACCTACCATAATTTCACCAGAAAAGTAATGAATTTTAATAAAAGTTTTAATTTTTGTTAAAAGTCGTTTGAAATGCAGAGGGTGTTCAGACATTTTTGTAACGATTTTGCAAAGATTTATATATAAACAAACCTTAGAATTTTATTTTCTGATATGTGCCGTCTGATAGTCCTTTTACTGAACTAGTTACTACATCTTGATTTCCAAGATATGCTCATAGTACATGAAACTCTAAGCAATTAAAGAGTCCTTTTCAAACAAGTCATTTTCTTAAAACATCAACGTTGATTTTGTTCCACTCATCATTCACAGTCTTCCAGAGTCCATCCAATCTTTTGGGATGCCGCTTATAAAGAGGATGTTTAAAAAATCCAGATGCACAGTAATCCATAATGGGATGCACAGCAATGGATGAGTTTGGGTGTGATGCACTTAAAGGGAATAGCTTCAATTCCATTTTCATTTCTCAATTTATCAAAAAATGGAGCAGCAGATTTAGAGGTATGACCTGGAGCCTTATCCTGATGGACATAGTCAAGATTGTTTAGACAAAGGGATGGAATTTCTTCTTTAAAAATAGGTGCTAAAGCGTATGTCAGATAGCAATCCGAATTAATTTTGACATTTTTTTCAACTTTCCTTATTTTAAGTTCTCCGATAAGAGAATCCAGTAATAACTATAAAACCGTTAGAAAAACTGTCCTTGTTTTCTCTGAACCAACATATTAAGTCTTTTTCTTCTCTTTTCCGGTAGTAAATCTATGTTTCTGTATTGCAATAATATATGTCTATCCAAGCCTCATCAACTGTAATATTTCCATTTTTCATCTGCTAAATAATTTTCATACAGCAATCTTCACATAGTCTTACGCTGAGAAACATGTTTCAGCTTTCGGCGACGAACATCATGCTTTTTTGTTTGATTAGCTTTATCGATAAACTCTCGGTGCGCCCTTATGGCGCCACAGGGAGTTGTTGCGTCTGGATAGGGAAGGGCGTGGGATATATGCCTTTTTACCTCTGTTAGACGCCAAGCGTCCCCGTCCTCCGTCACCTGTCACCTGTTTGATTAGCTTTAAATGAGATTTTATAATTTTGTTCACTGTTCCTACAGAGGTATTTAAAGATTTGCAATACCTCTTTGGGGGGGGGCTGTATTTTCCTTTAAAACATGGGATCCGAATTTAGATTTAATAAGAGCTGTAGCTACCTTTGTTGGGTATGCAGGTTTTGCCTTTTTTTAGTCAGATGTAAACTTTGATGTTTCTTTCCTTTCATACTAATTATGTCACTTATTTTACGTGTAAAATTTTAACATATTAATGTTACATGTTTAACATGTTTAATATTAAAACACTATAATAACATGTTTAATATTAAAACACTCTTTTCACATCTTTTTTTTAAAAATTGAAGGAGAGTATTTCTCTTTAGACAGCGCAAAATATAACCTTAGATCCATTGTTTATTTTTTAGAATATTTTTAATGCTTCAGAGAATAATTAGACCTTACTCCAATTGGATGTTAGTTTACGTTTGTATTTTAAATTGAATATTTAAATTCATGAAGAAATTCAATGTCGATTCAAAAATGTGTGAACACCGTCTGTGCAAATGTTTTTTGAATTCAACTTATTTCTTTGAAATAAGTCTAATGTTTCTTTAACATAAGTAGAGATTGCACATTCCAATCCTCATATCCGCAAAGCATCAAAAAACCCTAGTTTTTTTACCGGAATCAAAGAGTCCAGCTGTATAGTAATAATTCTAGTCTTTTGAATGCTAACCTTAAATCCCGTTAAATGTTTCAAATTAAAACTTTTAAGAGATTAGTTTTATTGACTACTTCAAACTGAAACTTTCGTTCGAATAAGAATGTCGGTTTCTGAAAAGAGGTTACCTTTACTCAAACGTTTTTAATGTGTGTTGAGAAATTAAACTTAAAGCTTTCAAAATTTTAAGTATACACTTCATTTACTAAATTCCATTCGTATTATAAAAATATAGGTGTGTGATAAAAAAAACTTCTTCTTACACTTGTTTTCTATCAAACGTATATTTCAAATTTTGCTTTGATTTAAAACTTGGGGTATTATTTCAGAGTTTGTTTCCTTTTAATTATTCTTACAGGAAATATTTGAGAAATTCTCTGATCTCTATTCGAATAAAGATTTGTAGTCGAGAAAATTTAAGATTCGTTCCACTTCCAGTGATAAGTACCATTTTCTTTCCATTTCTTTTTCTACTGGATGATATATTAAAAAATGTAAAATTATCATTTGTTCTACACACATCAGCCACTGGAATGTTATGACTATAATTTTGTTTTATTTTCCAATTATGAGATTTTGTTGCCTCTCATTTTAATTTACTTTCTGATGTTTTCAGGGAATTTACGAAATTTGCCACCTGTAAATATTTGCTGGTATTAGCTTAAATGTCAGCAACTATCACAGCATAAAAACCACCGTTTTATACTCTGCATTATTACATTCAGATTCTTGGCTTTCTTGTCATATCAGGTTCAATGTTTCTTCTAACCTTCTTCGGAAACATACAATGACCTGACTAGAACAGAGAGCTTACTAAAGCTATGTTCACTAATGTAGTAATAGACAGGATACAGACGAAGGGTATACAAAACCCTTATTTTTTTCTTTATATACAATGACTTCCGTACTTCGGAATACAATGACCCCCCCACTCGGGGTCTAACTTAAAAGATATCAAAATAAAACTAAACTCTAATTTAACTTAGAAGATTGGCCTTATAATAACAGAAAGCGTATGTAGCACAGAGACTGTGAACACTACATACGTTTAATTTATCAAGAGGATTAAAACCTCTGGCCTGGAGCAAAGTACATGCTACTTCTAAGTAAGCGGCCTGCTTCGAACTCACGGCTTCCCTCTCTTGCTTGCAAAAGGCCACACTAAATACTTGGCGTTCGCCAGACACTTTGCATAAACTCCCACACGCTTAATTCTGGCGGAAGTAGAAAATAAGAGTGATAGTAAGATTTAAAATAAATAACGTTAGTAAAAGACCTACATACTTCCCGCCAGAGTTAATTTTGAAACTGAGGCTAAAACGACCTTTTGAAAACTTTTAGCTCTAAACTACGCGAGCCAACCTTTACAGTCATAACTTAGCTAGAACTAAAAATTTTAAAAGAAAGAAATTGTTACAATAGCAGCTCCCAATATACAACAATCTTTTTTCTTTTTATCTGTACTGCATCAAAACAGGAGCTTTATTCAATTTCGGTTCCTTCCAGAGATCTGGAAGGAAACTAGTTGAATGAAATGTTACAGAATGACATGTAAATAACATATAGAATATACGAACATTCTAGTCATTCATGACTATTAATTATCTCCCCCGTGCTCTCTGACTGTTGTAAAAACACCAAACCGAATGTGTTCTGTCTATGGTTTCAACACTTCCTCCTCCAATCAAACACTAACGTGTTAAATTCAACATACGAACCTCTTACAACACCCTAATTTCACTCTAGACCCTGAGGTACTATCTGAAAGTGGCTAACTCTAAAGTTAGCGGCAGAGAGCCCTAACTTAACAATTCAAAACCTTGCACAGATTCACCATGAAAAATCACCCACAAATAACAATTTTTTAACATTACTTCACTTTTACCATATCACGGTATTCTAAACATTCAAATAACAGTTCACATGTATACAAGACATCAAGATGCCGTTAATTTTACACATTGAAAACATACATTAGTAGTACATTTAACTTCTATTCTTTTCAAAGCAATTGCCCCCTTTCTACATGAATAATACCACATTTCAAAAAGTCTTTCAGACTAAACTTCTCCTTGTTAAAGTTTAAATAAAATTTATACAATAACTTTTTACAATATTTAAGTCTTTTACAAACGCTATTACATCACTTAGTTTACACGCGCGAGTAATTGGAAAACATAATAAGAAAAATCGGTCACAACTCCTTCTCGCCCTTTTGCGATAAGGTAGACCTCGCATGAGGTAAAACTTCTTGAAACGGCCACTTGCAGTAAGAAGAAAGATTAACTTAAGTTTGTAAGTAACATAAATTTTACTTATCTTTGTAATTCAGACATCCTTTTCTGGCCCAGTCTTTAAAGGGCTGCAGACCGTACTTGGTTGACCCCTTCTTGTACGGGCTCGCCTTCATGCTTTCCTCTGGAACTCCGTTTACCACTACGGCCACCCTTGAACATCCTTTTCCTCTGCTTGTGGTCTTGCCGTTTGAAGGCACTGTCTTGGTGGAACCGGGAAACTTCTGTCATGATCCTGCTTGGACCTCGTGGTGGCCGTTCAAATTTTTCTTGAACTTTTTCCTCCGCCGCTATGGCCCTTCCGCAGTTCGGCGACTGCTGGAGGAGAGCGTCGGATGAGTCAATCTTCCGTTTTCACAGCCGTATAGTTGCCGTCCTTCTCCCGGTCTTTTCCACATACGTCGTCCTTCTCCCTTCTTCATTCTGGGGTGTTCTAACTCTGTTTTTGGACGTGGAACGGCTTCTTTTCTTGTACCTCAATTTCCGGGGCAATTTTTTTCACTTGCTTCTGGCTCTCAATGGCTTGCCCTTGTACTTGTCGTTTCCCACCTCTGGAACTGTACCGCGGTGTCTGCCGTACCGGATCCTGCAAAAGATCTGAAAAGATTTGCATTTATTACGGTCATAAATGGTTATGGGTCAATGTGGCGGAAGGTTTACCATTTCTTGCCTAACACTACAACAGCGTGAGTTATCTTTTCTATAACATGGTCCTTCAAGCGTGGAAAAATTTCAGTTTTACTTATGGTGCGAAGAAAGTGATGCTTAATTTTTAGCCCCCTAAGTTATAAGTTACTCCCGTCGTTCAAGTCATAAGTTTTCTTTGTGCTACGATTCCTTTTTGGGCTTTTATTAGGTTTTTTATATCACCCATTTTAATTCTGGGGCTCTTTGTGCACATAAAAGTTATCTAACGGTGTTATAACCTTTCCTAGAAATAACTCAGCAGGAGTTGCCC